AGGACCCCAGACAACGCCGTGGTCCCTTCTGCCACGTGCAGAGGCGGTGACGACCCAGGAAGCAGATCTCCCCGGAGCACCGTCTCTGGGGCGCCCTGACCCTGGACGTCCTGTGTCCAGAAGGTCTGCTGTCGGCAGCCTCCTACGGTGCTTGTTATGGGGACACTGTGGGGGAGGCGGGGCTGCTCCTGCTGACAAGTGCCCACCCACCTGGCCGCACACCTGGCTGCACACCTGGGCAGGGAGGGTGGGCACTGGGGCCGGGCAGGGGCCCTGGTAAATTTGCTTTCCCCTGTGAGCACTCTGGCCCCGCAGTCCAGTTTCCTGCAGAAGCCCCTCGCCCCTCGTGGCCTCCCTCCTCACCTGCCTCCCTTGCTCACAGGCCTGGGGGGATCCAGACAGACAAGGGTGGGCCCTGCTCTGTGGCTCAGGAGGGGAGACAAGGCCATGTGCCAACATCGTTTTCCTGACAGATTAAAAATCTTAAATCTTGGGCAGCAGCAACCTAAGAGCCATTCTGTGTAAAACCCACTGCAAGGTTAGCGCGTCCCGGAGCCTCTGTGCTTGGCACTGCCCACACGCCTGTGTGTGCAAGCACGTGTGTGCACAGGTGCCTGGAGGTGGGTGTGTAGCTCTGGCACCCAGTGGCATGGACACGCGGTCTGTAACCCAGCTGTGGGCACTGACCGAGACACCCCGGTCCATGCCTGCCCGGGGACAGCTGTAGACCGGGGCCATGGCAAACACCGCCGCCCCTCGCCCAAGGGCATGGCCAAGCCGGGTGGCACCGGCAGCCACGGACAGTGTGGGGGCCTCCTCCTACTGCGTTCTGCACGAGCACAGGGGAGGCAAGTTCACAGGTCGGACTCCACAAGGCTCACACCGTGGGCGGTGAGGCAGGCTCCCTCGCTCCCTGGATATCTCTCCTCACCTCCTTCCATCACGACTGACAGCAGCTCACCAAACGGCGGAAAACGTCACTGCAGAGGGGAGACGCTGCAGCCCTGACACCTCACCTCCGCCTGGCAGGAGACTGGGCTGCCCGCGGCCCCCGAAGCAAGGCTACCCTGGAGGGGGCCGCCAGTTCCAGAAATTAAACCTCCACGCAGGTGCAGGACGACCCCAACGGGCAGAGGATTCGGGCTCACAGAACGTTCACCAACAAGCGCGTGTGTGGGGCGTTGACGTGGACAAAGCAAGCCCCAGCAAGGCCCCATCGATAGCACGGTGTGTGTGCACGTGTGTGCACACGTCTGTCATGTGTCTCTGCGTGCGTGACAGGACGGGGTGGAGCCTCCACCACCGTGCTACCTGCTGGTCCCCAGGGGAGGTTCTAAACACAGTCAGGCCACGTGCCTCTCCCGGGGCCGAGAACTCTGGGAGCCTGGCTGTGTGTGAGGAGTGGCCCCAGCCCCGTGGCTAGGTCCGAGGGGGGAGGGGAGCCAGGGAGGCAGGGTGGGCCGGGTGGGTCCACAGGCTGAGCAACGATGGTGCTTAACCCTCGGGAAGCCAGGAAGGGACTGGAGCAAGGAGTGACGTTACCCACTCACATTCGACCCTGGGCCTGTGGTGTCCAGGCTAGAAAAGGGCCAGTGGGCAGGAAGCCCCTCAAGGGGCCATGTCCAGGTAGAGGATGCCGGGGCTGCAGGAGGCCCGTGGCTGGCCCTGAGTCCACTGCAAGGAAGACCCAGAGCAGGAAGAGGGTTGGTGGCTCTGGGCCACAAGATGTCTAGCGGAGGGTAACGGTCTCTGGGGACACAGAGCAAGAGCTCAGATGTGACTCAGGCCTGTGAGGCCTATGAGCCCCCAGGCGGGCATCGGGGTCAGGAGGGAGACCTCAGAGCTGGAGGGAGAGCTGGCCCCCATGGCTGCGGGCGGCGTGGGGCGCCGTTCACCCAACCGAGGTGTCTGGACGGGGGGAAGACAGGGTCCCGCAGCACAGAGGCACTGCCTTCAAGGACCGCTGACAGACAGCGGCAATGGTCCAACAACTGACGGCAGTCAGACAGCCACGTTTACTGCGAAACAGGGAAGCCGCGCTGAGGGGCTGGACCAACGGGGACGTGGAAACGGGCAGAGAGGCAGCTGTCCAGGAGACCGAGGTCTCCCGCCCACAGCACGCCCTGTCTGAGGCAGCGGGCTGGCCCCACACAGAGCCCCAGGGACAGGGCTGGGGTGGACAGAGAAGGCCCGACTCTGGCCCAGTGAGAGGAAGACTGAGTTCCACATCGGGTGTGGCTGTGGGGCAGTGTGGCCCTGTCATACATGGCCACGTCCACGCTCATGTCCCCGAGGCATGTGATGTGACCTTCTTCTGAAAAAGGATCTTGGCCGATGTAATTAAGTCAGGGATCTTGAGATGAGAGGTCATCCAGGATTATCGGAGGGGCCTAAATCCAGTGACTTGTGTCCTTATAAGAAAGGGAAGGACAGAGGGGGACGAGGAGGCAATGTGACCATGGAGGCAGGGATGGCGTGGACGCTGGAGCCGTGGGCAGCTGGAGGAGGCAGGAGGCCATGCCCCGGGGCTTTCGGGGGAGCGTGGCCCTGCCACAGGCTGATTGTGGATTTCTGGTCACCAACCTGGCGGTCGCTTATTACAGTGGCCACAGGAAGTAACACAGAGGCCAGGACAGAACAGCCTGGTTAAGGAGGAGGTGTCCCCCCTGCCGGGAGGAGGACTAGGCACAGGGGACTGGGGAGCCAGGGACCCGGCGAGTTGCGCTTCCACGGCGTCCGAGGCAGACTCTACTCTTACCGTGCCGATTCTTGGATCAAGCGCTTAGAGGCCAGATCAGGGCTAGGCCCGAGGGCCCAGTACGTGAAGTGCAATGCTTGTCCCGTCCCACATGTAATTATGGTAATTACACGAGACCGTGGGGCCGGGAGCTGGAAACCTCGTCTAGACAGCCTCTCTGGCCTGGATGAAAACCACAATGGGGAGCCGTTCCTGGCGCGGAGGCCTCCTTGCACCCCAGCACTGACTGGATAGTGACTGCCCTCTGGGCTGACCCTACGCCAGGCCTGCAGCAGGGGCTGTAATGAATTCATCCCGAACCCTCAGAGAGGGCCTGGCATAAAAGGAGGGGTCAGAGCTCTGGAGCCAGCAGCCTGGGCTCAAAGCCCAGCCTGGCACCGAGCAGTGTGGGCTCGTCACGGAACTTCTGTGCCTCACTTTCCCCATCTGCAAAATAAGGATGTTAATGGCACCACCACCTCACGGGGCTGTTGGGAGGATAACTGTGTCTTGTATAATCTGAGACCAGCACTCGGTGCACAAGAAACACCCCCAAAGCGGTGGCTCCTGTCCTTATCCGTGTCCAGGAGAGAAGAGCTCCTCCTCCACCTCACTAAGGCGAGAACAGTGCGCAGCACGGGAGAGGCACTCACCGGGTCACACCGCACACGAGGGGCACAGTCCGGGCCCACGGTCCTCAGCCAGGAGAGCCCGCCCCTGGGGCACATGTGCTGTCTGGAGGCGCCAGGGTCTGTGAGCCCTGGGAGTGTCCAGGCCAGGAGTGCTGCGAAATATCCCACAGTGGCCAAGGCGGCCCCAACAGTGTCACCTGGCCCCAAACGTCACCAGTGCCATGTTGAGGGACCCTGCTCTAAGCCATGGCCCTGATGGCACTAGCTGTTCTAGGTGTGACCCAGGTGACCTGTCCTGCATGAGTCTGGGGGCGGGGTTTTAGGGAATGGGCTCCAGGGCCGGTGCGTCTGTGAAGCTGCACCGGCTCCAGCCTCACAGAGACGCTGGGTCCCTTGGCCCACGGCCAGCTCAGAGTTTCTGCCACACCCACAAGTCAGAGCTGGCGCGGTCAGCCACTTCTAAACACATGGGGTGCCAGGGCCCCATAAGCTTTGTGGTGCAAGTGCTCAGAAATGCTTCCGAGGCCACAAGGTGATGAGAAGGTGGTCATGGAGCCCTGGGCTCCCGTCCATGCACCCAGACCTGCCTCAGCATCAGGCTGGCTGATTCTCCACTGGACACCCCAGGAAGAACCGTCGCTACCATCAGGCCCCAGGCACCCCTCAGCCCTGCCCACACCCACGGCGGCCACCATGAGACGCCTCCCTGCTCGAGACCTCCCTCCTGAGAGTCACGGAAAGCCAGTCCACCTCCACTGGTGCAAAGTGTGCTCCGAGTTTCCAGCCTCTGGCCTCCCACCTTCCTCACCTGCATCTCAGGGTGGCCAGTCCTCAGGGTAGGACGGAGCAAGCGGGCTGACCCAGAGGAGACGTGGAGAGGACGCGGGCAGCTGACCCCCGACAAGCACACGCACCTGCCCATCAGGACCTTCGTGAGCTGATCATTTGGAATGAAGCAAGCAATTCTCTCCCTCCCTCTTGCGGCTCATCGCACTTCTCTTTTATTTTTTTTTTTTTTGGAGAGATTTTTGCTATAGGGCGCGTGCGCTCGCCAGACAGACAGAGAGAGACATAGAGACAGAAAGCGAGAAATCACCCCCCAGGGGGGATGGTCACGCCGCAATCCCTTCTCCTCCATTCTCCTCTCCTCTCGGGATCTTGGCACGCACACACACGCGCCCGGCATGAGTTTTAAGCCACCGGGTCCAGGACACGAACCGCGGTTGACTACGTGGGAGTCCAGCGACATAGCCATTACGCTAACTGCTGGTTTCCGCACTTCTCTTAATTAGAAGTTTTGCTGTAATCCCCAAACGCTGGGCACCTTTACCCCGCCCACATGCGCTGCGCCACACCATTCTCAGGTCATCTGTGGCACCATTTTTATGGTTTTTCAAATACACATGGAAAGTAATTGCAACTCAGAGCAGAGCATGTCACTTGGGAGGCTCCTACACTCGGGGCCCTGTGCACCTGGCCCGCTCGGAGCTCGTCTCCCCGTTTCTCCCCAGGTGCACCCCCCCCACTCCCCCAGGCTGGCAGCAGAGGGCATAGCTCCAGCTCCAGCGCTGCGCCCCCTGTGACAGCAGGCCCCTGGAGCAGACGCCACGCTCCCCACCACCCGTCCTCACCGGAGATGACAGACTCGTTGAGTGCCTCCTCGTCTTGGTACAGGAGCAGGTCGTCCTGCAACTCGGAGTTCAGGATCAGGTTCTCTTTGTTCTCCTCGGACTCCTTGGCCACGGCCCGCTTGCTCTCTGTGGCACCGTCTGAGCTCCACGCCTCCTCCTTCCCCTTGCCCCGCTCCAGGCTGGACGTCCTCGACAGCCGGACGTCCGCCCGCTTCTTCGGGGACCCTTTGCTCTCCCTTCCTTGAAAACTAGACCGGAAAGAGCCCAGGCTGTGCGGCTGTCCCCCTCTCCGGGGGCCCACAAAGCCAACCTGCAGGGTCTGGATGGGGTCACCCAGGTACCCCCAACCCAGAGCAGCCAGCACTCAGGTCCAGGCGTCATGAGAACCAGAGGGCACCTCACCCCTGTTCTGCCACCCTGGGACGTGGCCTCCATGGCTCACTTCCCTTCACGGTCCATGACCACACGTGACCCTTCGTGGGCTGTGACACACGTGATCAGAACAGAAGTGCAGGAAATCCCTGCATTTCCGGGCCAAGCAGAATGCTGCCCTCCTGTGAGCTGCTGCCCACCTGGCTCCGGAGGGGCCCGTGCAAGGTGCTCCGTGGCCGGGTTCCCACAGGGCACGCCCCCTGCCCTCCCTCCTGGGATGCGAGGACCAAGGCCAGTCACATTGCCAAGCCCCACACAACATGGAAACGGGGCTCCTGGCCCAACACACAGTCAGAATTTTGAGGTGGTCACAGCTGAGCACAAAGCCCAGCTCTGGTGGCTGCACAGGGGCACGTCCGTGAGCAGTCCAGGGCGGGGCCTCACCTGTCCTGGCGGTGCTTTGTGGCCAGTGCCCTGTGCAGCTCCTCGATGACACGGCTTGGGGGCAGTGGCCGGTGGACGGTGGTGAGATGCGGAGACCCCGTGGGCGTGGAAAGCTGCCCCCGGAGGGGAGGGGAGGGACTCTTCATGCTGGAGCCTTGGAAGAACGTAGCTTGGCCTGGGCACGGGGAACAATAATGCGTGACTCTGGGAGCAGGGACAGGGACCTTGCCGAGGGACAGGGCACAGAGGACACACCCCTGTCAGCCCCCACGCCAGGCATCTCCCGATAGTGCTGAGACTCAGGGGCCCTGCTCCCCGAATGCAGACCAGATGCATTTCTCGCAGCTGCGCTCGCTCCACCCTCGGCCCACCCTGCTGGGGGCTGGGCTCTGTGGGTCGGTGCCAGCGCCTGGTCAGCTCAGTCCAGCCTCCTGCTGCTGCTTTGCTGTCAATGCCACTGCCCAAAGTATTGGACATGCACAGCCTGGAGACATTTCCCAAGTTCTGCACAGTCCTCCGGGCTGGCAACCTTCTGATCCCCTCTCTGCCCTGGTCACCTCTGCCTCCAGCCCTTTTCTGCATCCCAGTCAAGGGGATCTTTCTGGACAGCAAATCCGACTGCATCTCAGTGTCCTCCCAAGGACACAGTGCAAGCTGTGGGATGCCCTAGGCCCCTCGGATGCCCACATGACCTCTGCCTTCATCCTCTCCATATCCTACCTCACTCTCTACACTCCAGCTGGGAAGACCAGCCCCTGAAGGGGTCGAAGGATGCAGTGGCAGGCAGGGGAGGTTCAGAACAGTCACTGTCTGTCTGTTCACGACTCATCTGCCCCTCTAAGCTGCCTGTGCACACAGGCTGTCCGGGGCTGACAGCAAATCCAGAGATGAAGCCGGTTCTCACAGGGCTGCTGTCTGGAGGGTTGTAGGGAGTGATGCAGATCAACCCTACACATAGGGCAGGCTTAGCCCCAGGGAGCAGTGACAAGTGACCACAGCCTGGGTGGCTGAAAGCAGGGTCCCTCTCACAGGCCTGGAGGCGGAAGTCTGAAGTGGGCTGCAGCAGAGCCGGTGTCTCCTTGGCTGGGAGGAGACGCCGCTGCCTCTCCCCAGCCCCGTGACTGTGGTAGCCCTGGTGTACCTCGGCTGGAAGACGGGTCATGCCAGGCCCCGCCCCACCTCAGTGTGCTGTTCTCTGTGCCCCGTCTGTGTCTCCAACCAGGACGTCCTCGTGGACGAACCCTGACCGGTACGAGGGTCTTTAACTCTTCGTGGAGAGCCCCCTTCTCCAGAGATCGGTGGTGTCTCCTGCCACCACAGCAATGGGACAAGAAGTAGCCAAGCTCCAAAGGAGTGTTCCTGCTTCCTGCGACTGCCCGGCAGCGGCCGAAGCTGCAGATACGTATGGCTTCAGAGGCCTCTGCCCAGCTAAGCCCCCTCTGACCACCACCCCAAGTACAGTGTTTACTCCCGGCTCTGCGTGCTGCGTAGGGCTCTCCGGAGAGTGACTCGGGAAAAGAGAGCCTGGGCGGAGGTCAGAACAGACAGGCAGACAGGTGCCGACAGCTGGGAGGCGGTCCCTGGCCTGGACCAGCTGCCTCTGTCTGGGTCTAGAAGGTGGTCCCATTTGCCAGGGAGAGCCTGAGCAGTTTGCTCACAACACCCACAGCTCCCAGCTAAGAGCTATCTCTGCGCGGCCCAGTGCCCACCACAGAAGCAAAGGGGGAGAAACAGCCCACAGCCGTGCCGGTCGGGCCCGGCCAGAGGCACGGACGGCAGCTGGCTGCAGTGCGGAGGGAGGGAAGCACGCACACCCACCTGTGACACTTTTTGTGGCTTTGGAGCTGGCCTTGGGTGGCGGGGTAGGCAGCTGCGGGGGGCTGGGGAGCTGGCCCCAGGGTCTCTCCAGGGGCCTGGGAGCACTCTCCAGGGAGTCAGACCCAGCTAAGGCTTGAGAGAGCTCGTCGGGGGTGGGCAGGAGGCTGCGGGCGTGCTCGGCGTCCACGTCTTCACTCCCGGGTGCAGACTGCATCTTGGCTGGTTCAAAGGCAAAACAGAGTTGAGCAAACACGCTTCCTGGGCAGGGCGGGAGAGAGAGCACAGCGCGGGGCCCGCGGGAGGGAGAGCGGGGTGCAGGCGCTGGACCCCGAGCCGCCGCCTCAGACACCAGGCTGCCTGCACGTCCACCGTCCTGGCCCATCAGAGGTCGAGCGCCAGGGAGGAAGGTCATCCCAGCAGCGTGGTGACTCTGCCCAGCCTCTTTCCCACACAGTAGGGGTACGCCAAAGCTCCCCCCAAGACCCGGGGTCCCCACAACAAGTTTTGGAGTCAGACACGGGCTCATGCCGCCTCCACCCAGGCTGTGATCCCCGAGAAGGCCGGCTCCTCGTGAGTGGCTCCGTCTAATATCAACAAGAAGTGACGAGTGTGCCTGGCATGTCGGAGACCCTCGGCCTGAGCGGCTCTTGTGCCTGCGTCTGGCTGCCGCCAGCCCTGGCCCCAGGCGTGCCAGCCAGAGGAGTCGGGACAGGGAGATGAGAAGGCTCCACTTTGAGGAGGGCCAGTCGGCCGGAGTCCCGCCCCTCTCATTCCGGCTGCCCCTTCAGGCTCCATCCCACTCCCGGCCCCCCTCCGCCCTCCCTTCCCCACGTCCTCCCCGAGCTCAGCTCCACCCGCCACCTCAGCACACTGGGACTCTGCCTGGCGTCCTTTCCAGATGACTCTCCAAGAATCCCTGGTCTGGATGTAGCTGCTGCCCCGGCCCTGTCTTCTCCAAGTGCTGTGGAAGTCCCTTGTCGCAACTGTCTCAGGACTGTCCCCCCAGGACCCCGTGCAAGGGATGCCCTGAACCTTTTCTGTCCTCTCTCACCTCCCCCTTCCCTCACCTCCAGCCTTATAGGGAAACTGAGGCCGTCAGTTCTGACTCTAACTCCATCGTTCTGTCCCCAACACCTTTTCTTCCTTCCCCAGCAAAGAAAGGTGGCCTCTCCCTGGGGACCCGGCACCCCAGCCCTGTGGAAGGCGCACACGCCTCGTCCCGCTTAGTCCCTGCAGGCGCACACGCCTCGTCCCGCTTACCCCTGCAGGCACACACGCCTCGTCCTGCTTAGTCCCTGCAGACGCACACGCCTCGTCCCGCTTAGTCCCTGCAGGCGCACACGCCTCGTCCCTCTTACCCCTGCAGGCCCACACGCCTCGTCCCGCTTAGTCCCTGCAGACGCACACGCCTCGTCCCTCTTACCCCTGCAGGCACACACGCCTCGTCCCTCTTACCCCTGCAGGCACACACGCCTCATCCCTCTTACCCCCTGCAGGTGCACACGCCTCATCCCTCTTACCCCTGCAGGCACACACGCCTCGTCCCGCTTACCCCTGCAGGCGCACACGCCTCGTCCCGCTTAGTCCCTGCAGGCGCACACGCCTCGTCCCGCTTACCCCTGCAGATGCACACGCCTCGTCCCACTTAGTCCCTGCAGGCGCACACGCCTCATCCCTCTTACCCCCTGCAGGCACACACGCCTCGTCCCTCTTACCCCCTGCAGGCACTCATGCCTCATCCATCTTACCCCCTGCAGGCGCACATGCCTCGTCCATCTTAGTTCTTACAATGAGCTGAGGAGGAAGAGCCAGTGCTCTCCCTGCGCCCCAGGGGCCAGCCCAATGGACTCCCCATTTCTCCATCAGAGGTTTCTGTCTGGCGCTGTCCGCGGTGCTGAAAACAGTGTAGCTGTAGACCTTTTCTCACCCTCAGCACTGCCCCAAGATGAGAGCAGCACATTCCTGTCCCCTATGGGCAGACTGTCACCTGCGGGGCATCACCTTCCAGCTCCCTACAAAGCCCCCATGAACTTCCTGAGGTCAGGAAGTGGGAGGCCCAGGTTCGAGTCCTCACAGGCAACATCTGCTGCCCAAGGGTCGGGCTCTCTGCCAGATGACAGCCGTCTGCCGTGAAGTTACGGACCACACAGAGGGCCCGGGCCTGGGGAGGGCAGCTCCCTGGCAGCTGGGGTCCAGGATGTGACAAGGAGAACAAGAGACACACAGCTTCAGGTAAGGGCAGGTCCTCCCCGAGCTCTGCAGCACCTGGAGACCCAGTGCAGCCTGGCTGCCACGCCGTGACGTCAGGTGTCGGCTGTTCCCCATGTAATGACTAGTTCCTCACCAACGACGCCTTTCCAGGGCGTCCTTCCCCTCAATCTCTACCGAGCCAACTCCTGCTCATCCTGCAGGACCCAAGGGCATGTGTGGGCAGGACAAGGTCCTTACTACCAATCAATTCTGCTCTGACAATCCCTCCCCAGGCCCACCACCTGGATGGGGAGCCTGCCTGCAGTCACAGAGGGGGTGGGCGGAGCAGGTACATCGCTCGGAGCTGTGCAAACTGCCAACAGGAACCTCCAGGGCAGACCAAGAGGGCTCAGCTTCTGGGGCCACAGGAGATAGCTGTGCCCGGGGTGCATTAGAATCACGCTCAGGGCACACAGGGACACCAGTGAGGCTGGGACTCTGCCAGGGCCCCAGACTCCTCCGGCATCTCCGAGCCACACAAGGCTGAGAAGCACAGCCCATCCTCAGGGGGGCAGAGGGTGCCTCTTGGCAGGAGCCCGTGGAGGCTGTGGGGGCACTGTGGCTAGGGAGAGCATGAAGTGGGGAGGTCGGCCCTGGTCTGGCAGAAGAAAGCCCCAAAGCAGCCCATCCAGACTGGAAGCAGAGACGCAGCAGGCCTGGGCCCGTGGCCTCCCAGCATCAGGGGAGGCGGAGCTCAGTTCCGGACCGCAGACCGTGGTGGCCGACATGGCTCAGGAGTGACGAGGAGCCAGGCTTCGGCTCTGCAGCGTGGCCTCTGTGAAGGCTGCTATGGGACCACGGTTAGCAGGTCCACGAGGAGGGTGGCACTTCGAAACCCCACAGGCTTTCCTGGGCTCGTGCTTTCCTCTGTGCCACAGCTGGCAAGTCCCCTGGGTCTACTCAATTAAAATAAAAGCTGCCGCCGCTGCACGCCGTGCCGCCTCTGACTGGTCACGCAGCCTGGCAGACGCGGAGGCCTGGCGCAGACCGTCATGTGCGCCACCCTT